TTCCAGTGGATTCTCCATTATTGAGTTAAAATCCCTTATAACTCTAACGCCTCAACCCTGAAACCAAAAACGTACTTGACATCATCTCTGCGAAGGTACCGGAAGTGCGTGTGGCGGCTCAGGACACTCGAGGGCTGACTGACCAAGACAACTGTGACACTTGGGCACTGTAGAGGCCTAAGATACCAATATCAAAGGGTTACATGTGGATGTATAGGGTTTAGGGGTTACGGATATACACCCGAATAATGAATCCCCCCGTAAGAATAACACCCCACACCCAGTAAGACTGAATAGCTATTCCTAATAGTCATATACCGAGAAGCTTAATCCTAGGGGGGCGAGGGGCCTCAATATTCGGTGGAGGGGATTACCAATGTTATGGCTTGTACCAGGGTTATGTAGGGAACATGGAGAACCAAAAAGACAGGAGAATGGCAGATGAAACGGGAACTGGGTTTATATGCGGCATTGCCTGACAGCCTCGAGAGATCTACTTTAACGGATCCAGCCCGGGTCTCAGAGTTAAAGGCTTCTGAACATCATGGTTCAGGCATGTGCTTGAGCTTCCCAAGCGTTTGGGTAAGCGGCCAGCTGAGCTTTTCAGCTCGAGCTGCTTTCCACTGGTTTCAACCGCGCGTAGAGTTGTTGAAGCGGCCCAACATGCAGTCAGACCCGGAGCTTTGCAACGCTGCCTGGATCTGTGGGTGGCTTGGCTGATGGCCTTCCCAACCTTGGATCCTACACTGCAGACACTACGCCCCAAACCCAAATCCCTCAACCGCAATCCCCAGTCCCATATTTTCATCCAAGGAAAACTCAAGTGGTTTTCTCCCCTGTATCAGCCCTATGTAGCGCTTTGCATACCTCTTTCCCCATACGCGTTATAGAAGCCTTAAGTAGCAAGACCCTCCTGGTAATTCCCCACCTGAGAATTCACTCAAATGCAGCCAGGAGCACCTTCAGTCCTTTCATGCGGCCACTGCAGCCACCGTGGCCAGCAGGGAGTGGCAGCCAGGAGACTTCATCAAGCACCACCCAGGCGCCGTTTAGAGCTTGGGGTTTTGGATTAGGCTTTAGGGTACCTGACACAACCCAGGTGCCAATCACAACCATAGGGGTTGCAGGGTTTGGAAGTTAGCTGTCTCGGCATGTGGCTTCCGGGCTTGCGGTTCAAGGCCTGCGATGCGATGATGGGTTTTGGAGAAGCCTTCACACGTGGTAATCCTCTCATACGCATATTAAACCACCCGCGCCCTGAAAAAGCATGTATTCCCAAATAAGAGACCTCAGATATTGTGGACCATATTGAATACTTATTACGGGTCGGGGGTGGTGTCTAGTATTAGTATGAACGGATAGCAATCTCCTCAGTCCCTAAGTTGTCAGATTTGGTAGTCCTCACTGTTCGATTCTAGTAGATATGCTGAAAGAAGTCCTCTTTTTTCTAGTCTGCTGCGGTAACCTGTTGAAACTTCAGGTTTTATGGATCCAGCAGATTTGTCTAGGTTGTGACAGGTTGAAACTGTTTAGCAGTTATATGTTGTAACCTGAGCTTTTTAAGAAGTACGGTACACTACGCCTCAAAAGTGTCTGATGATCTAGGCCTCTTAGACGCAGGGCTTTGGCCAAGTCACCATCGCCCAAACTAACACGGAACCCCCAAGGGCGTGCCACAAAGATCACTGATCACCGTCCTTTAGAGAGGGGGTCATGTGATGTTCCATGCTTGCCTTGGCAAAGTTCTTAACAAAATCCGAAAAATCTATATAACATGAAATACGGTTTCTACACCTGGAAGAAGTAGTAGTAGTGGTGGTGG